ACCATTGCTGATGCTTCGGCAAATGATTTGGGTTGACCATCCAATTTTTTGGGTGATAACGAGAATCTATCATCCAGCCAACCCCATGCATAATAATGTAATGACTGATCCAAAGCCAATGAAAAATTGAGATAATTCTTACAAACCACACTTTGCACTTTTTCAATTGGTATTTTTATCGGCGCCTTTGCATTTTGTGGACCATGACCACATCCGAAAATCTGACCATCCTCAAATAAAAATAATGAATGAAATATGCCGGCCACAATATTTTTGATTGGACTATCTATCGAACCATCAGGAAATGAAACCAGTGAAGGTCTTTTTCGATCATTTGTTCGCCCTAGACCTAACTGTCCCCATACATTACTGCCCCAGGAATAAATTTGATTATTATTGGTGAGAGCAAGACTATGGCCAGCTCCACCATTTATTATTTTGACATTTTTCAAACCAGTATTCACGAGAGTATTATACGATGACTCTGAATTACCGGTCAATTGACCATATTGATTACATCCCAAAGCGAAAACAGTGCCATCTTGTCGTAACAACATCAAATGATTCTGTCCACATGCTATCATTTCAAAACGATCATTTCCGGTGGAGATCAATCGCAAAGTTTTGTTCGTCTGCCATCTCGAATTACCACTGGCTAGATAGACTAGTCCATCATCGGTTAAAACGACAACAAAATCTTTTCCCGAATCGACTTGAATAATTTTCTTATCATTCAAAATGTGAATCTGTTGTGGTCGTTTGGGATCATGTTGTAACGATAGCCATTTGCATATTACATCACCATAAACATAGTTAGCATCGTTGGTCATACATAGATAACCGGATTCGCNATTTTTTCTTTTTTGCGACAGCTTTTTATCCGGATTATTTGATTGCGACACATTGATAGTTGACGTTAGGCCAAAAGTGATTGGTGATTTGTTTATTAATGCTGATGCTTCGGCAAATGATTTCGGTTGACCATCCAATTTTTTGGGTTCTAACCAGTATCTTTTATTCAGCCAACCCGATATATAATAATCCGAACGATCCGACAAAGCCAATGAAAAAGGGAAATTATTCTTACAAGCCACACTTTGCACCTTTTCAATTGCTACTTTTATCGGCACCTTTTCAATCGCTATTTTTACTTTTGCATTTTGCTTGTTATCATTGCTTAGGAGAATATGCTGACCACATCTGAAAATCTGACCATCCTCCAATAAATATAATGAATGCTGGTGGCCGGCCACAATATTTTTGATTGGACTTTCAATCGAACCATCAGGAAATGAAACCAGTGAAGGTGTTCCTTGATCTTTCTCATGACCTAGACCTAACTGTCCATAACGATTCTTGCCCCAGGAATGAATTTGATTATTATTGGTGAGAGCAAGACTATGGCCCTCTCCACACGCTATTATTTTGACATTTTTCAAATCAATATCCTCGAGAGTATCATACGATGGCTTTAAATTACCATTACCCAATTGACCATATTGATTATTTCCCAAAGCGAAAACATTGCCATCTTGTCGTAACAACAACAAATGATACATTCCACATGCTATCATTTCAAAACGATCATTACCGGTGGAGATCAATTGCAAAGTATTGTTCGTTTGCCAATTTGAATCACCACTGGCTAGATAGACTAGTCCATCATCAGTTAGAACTACAATAAAATCTTTTCCCGAATCGACTTGAATAATTTTCTTATCATTCGAAATGTGAATCTGTTGTGGTCGTTTGGGATCATGTTGTAACGATAGCCATTTGCATATTTCCTTACCGTAAACATAGTTAGCATCTTTGGTCATAAATAGATAACTGGATTCGGATATTTTATAAATTGCTTCGATGCTTCTAATAAATTCTTGATCAATATCTTTTAAATCATCTTGAAATAATTTTATATCCACGTAAGTATCAGTTGGTAATTTTTTCATTTTAATCGAAAATTGAAATTTTATTTTCAGCAAAAAATAAATCACAAAATGCAATGTAGACACACTGCTGCCAAAAGCAAAACAGTATTTAAATAACAGTGTGTGTTCAAAAATTAAAAAATCGATTGAAACGATTGGTGTATCCAAGGATCTGGTCATACTTTATCATAATACTTGATTGATCAAATTGATTGATAATAGCTTTACATTCATCATCCATATTGGATGTATTTTTACCCAAAAAACAAAAAACAAGTGTACATCTCTCTTGAATATCGATAATAATCAGCCATATCATGGATCTATTTCATTTATTTTAACCAATAAAACCAATAAAAAAACAACACTTAAGATTAAGATTAACTGCAACAAACATAATGATAACCACTTTATGACAACCACAACAAAAAAAATGTATGCTATTTTAACAACAATTAAAAAAAATACAAATACAATTTACTATTCTTTTCTTTTAAAGAGAAGATTTTTGTTCAGAAAACAATAGAAGAAATTTTGCAATATTTTTCTTGTTTTTTGGTAAAACATTTTCGATAGTTAGCTGGACAAGTTTATCATTCATTTCATCAAGTTGATATTTATCAATCAAGGGAAGATAAGTAGATAATGTTTGTTCATTCAGATTGTTTCGTATGAATGTTCGACAATGTTTCATTAATTGTTCATCACCATAACAATTGGCCAAATCAATAAGTTGGTCTATATTGGATTGATTGATTAGGATTTGGCCCGTATGTAACATCCGTAGATATGCGTAATAGACATCATAATGATAATCTTTGATGACCACTTCGCTATTTTCCTTCCAATCACCTGAAAACATTCGACTATAATAATGGGATGACATTTTCAGATGACACTTTGAAGCCAATATACGTTTATTGCCGATAACAAACTCGACATCATAATTATCCGGATTATTCAATAATCCAATTAATGATATCGGAATATTGAATAATTTAGATGATTCAATAAATGATTTCGGATTCACAGTTGATGTTAAGCCAAAAGTGTTTGGTGATTTCCTTACCATTGCTGATGCTTCGGCAAATGATTTCGGTTGACCATCCAATTTTTTGGGTGGTAACAATACTCCATTATTAATCATACCCAATACATAATAATGTGATGACTGATCCAAAGCCAATGAAAAATCAAGATCATTCTTACAAACCACACTTTGCACATTTTTAATTTGCATCTTTGCATTTTGCTGACCATAACCACATCCAAAAATCTGACCATCCTCCAATAAAAATAATGAATGCAACATCCCGGCCACAATATTCTTGATTGGACTATCAATCGAACCATCAGGAAATGAAACAAGTGTGGGTGTTCTTCGTTCATTTGTATCCCCTAGACTTAACTGTCTCGATCTATTATAGCCCCAGGAATAAATTTGATTATTATTGGTGAGAGCAAGACAATGGTTCTCTCCACTAGCTATTATTTTGACATTTTTCAAACCAGTTTTCACGAGAGTATTAAAATACAATGAATGTGCATCACCGGTCAATTGACCAAATTTATTATCTCCCAAAGAGAAAACAGTGCCATCTTGTCGTAACAACAACAAATGACCCTGTCCACATGCTATCATTTCAAAACGATCATTACCGGTGGAGATCAATCGCAAAGTTTTGTTCGTTTGCCATCTCGAATTACCACTGGCTAGATACACTAGTCCATCATCAGTTAGAACGACAACAAAATTTTCACCGGAATCGACTTGAATAATTTTCTTATCATTTAAAATGTGAATCTGTTGTGGTCGTTTGGGATCATGTTGTAACGATAGCCATTTGCATTTTTCATCACCATAAACATAGTTAGCATCGTTGGTCATAAATAGATAACCGGATTCGCTCCAAAATGTGGATATTTTATAAATAGATTCGATACTTTGAATAAATTCTTGATCAATATCTTTTAAATCATCTTGAAATAATTCAATATCCACGTCATTATCAGTTGGTAATTTTTTCATTATTATCAAAAATTCAATGCTATTTTCGGCAAACAAAAAATCAAACAAAATCATAAAATGTAATGCAAACACACTACCAAAAGCAAAACAGTATTTAAATAACAGTGTGTGTTCAATCAAACACTTATCAAAAATTAAAAAATCGATTGAAACGATTGATGTATCCAAGGATCTGGTCATACTTGATCCATGTTCATCATAATACTTGATTGATCAAATTGATTGATAATATCTATATTTTTACCCAAAAAACAAAAAACAAGGATACATCTCTCTTCAATATCGATAATAATCAGCCACATCATGGATCTATTTCATTTTTGATTAGCCTGATTTCCAAATAAGATCAAATCAAACCATAAAAAACAACAATTAAGATTAATGATAACTGCACAAACAACTTTATTGCAACCACAATAAAAAAATGTTTGTTCAAATGAAAAGTCACTAATAATTGCAATGATCCATAATCATTTCATAATCATTACCCACCACACACACATATATTTCATACGAAGGCCAAGTCCAATTGGTGGCTAAATGTGTAAATGTGAAAAAAAGGTTTTTGCATAAAACAAATCATTTATAAAGTTTTTTTTTTGAAAATTTTTTAATTAAACATAATTAAAATTTTTAAATTTTTTTTCAATTGTCATCCTCGACGACGTGGATCACGACAATTGTTTGCAAGGAATTGTATATAATTCATCAATTCCTGCTTTTGTGTTTGGGTGAGTGAATCACCCATTTGATCAACGTGATATTGTATTTGTGACAAAAAGTCATGTACACAAATAAAATAGTTCGGATTTCTTACAAAACGAACTATTAATAATAAAATTTCGCGAAAATTTTCGCTAAAAATTAATGTTTGTAAATTATTATTGTTGTTATCCATATCTGTTTTCGATTCTATAATTGATGTTTGATTCGATTGTATTTTTTCCAATTTCTTTTTTGTAAATTGGTATAGTAAAATTATGTCTTGAATGTAAATGAACGACTGTAATTTATATACATTTTAAAACAATATTGTTTAGGTTGATTAATTAAAAAAAATATAGTCGATATAATGATTAGTTTAATCAATTAATTACCATTAAAAAAATTGAATTTTATTACTACTCTTTATTGGAGTTGCTTTCCACACATTAAATAAATCATTTACAATGATTAAAAAAAAATAGAATAAAATTTTATTTATTATTACAAAATTCCAAAAAAATTACAAAAAAAGAAACACAAAGATTCATACAGGAACTAGGAAACGATGATGGACACTCATAACACGGAAACAATGACGACAATGATACTTGAACACAATGATAATGACCGTATTTGACCGTTCGTAAAGTTTGCAACATAAATTTTTCTTCTCTTTCTTTGCCAAGGCCAGAACAATATTCTATTGAATTTCAGTTCGTTTATTTTACAGAAAATCTATGAAGAAGAACACCAATTGACCAATTTTTGCAGGATAACTTGACCTTCTCATCTGATACGTCATTACGCTTCTCTTCGATCTCTACCATTTGGGCGGCCAAAATCCGTACTCGATCTTCGTCCTTACACGATAGCGAACGACTAAGAATCTTATTATGAATCCTCATCGTGATTTCACGGCAAATTACCGACAAATTTTCATTGTCCATGGTTTTTCTTCCTGACACCAGAAGAATGGTACACAACACTTTTATTACTTTATTTTGAAAAATCTTTTATATACAATGTAAAGCGTCAATCAACACCGATGACTTGCGGCCATTTAACACAACAATAACAAATAGGTAAGATGACAGTATACAAATTTTTTTAAAAATTAACGTACAGATTTAAAGGCTAATCATTATTAATAAAATTTTTTTAAAAAATACAAAACTTCAGTAAAATATCATTATTTATTAATAAAAGCAAACAACAATTATCATTATTTAACGATATTTATAATCATGATCATGATGTTGACGTTGTTGTTGTTCTGATGGTGTTGGTGCATAAAGATGTAACATCAATTCAATATAATTATTAAAACCTTCGATTTCATTGGGAGTCATTACATGACCAAGACCAAATGAATGATAGCGTATAATTCGTAAAACATTTTCTTCACCACCATAAAAATCTGGATTGATTGAATATTGAAAAATGATAAATATTATTTGTTTTAAAGTATCGAAAAATGGTGGTGGTAATCGTAACATTATTCCAATTTATGAAATAAAATTAGTTGAAATTTTGCTTTGATGTGATTGACTCGATTCGATGATAAGTTTGATTTGAATTAGTGCAAATAATATTCGATATTTAATCAAGAAAGCTGTTATTAATACATTTTCAAACAATATTGTTATGTTTGTTTATTTGTTTGTTACAAATAATGATTGTTTTTAATTGATTTAAAACAAAAACAAAATGTATCAAACGAGAGATTCCAATTGCAT